CCGAGCAACGGGAACTCACCCCGTCGCAGGGATTCGAACTGCTAACCTTCTGATCGGCAAGTCCTAGACTCTGTGGTTTAACCCACAGCGCCACCCGCGTCCCTCACAGTAAATATATATACATAAAAACTACACACAGAGATTTGTGAATATGTGTTTTATTGAAAAAAGAAATATGAAAAACAGGGCCTACAATAGGTCTACTTTCCTTAAAGACCTGCATTTACATCAAGTGAATGCAGGTTGTACTAGGCATGGTGCAATGCATTAACACAGAACAAACAATTGTGTGCTCTAAATCAGGGGAGGGTAATCTGTGCCCCTACAGATATCTATAAAATCTAGTGCAGCTGATCCCAGTGAGATACAGCACTGTCAACAAGTCCCATTTACAAAGGAATTATTGGAAATTCACTTTAAGCTCCTGATGGTTGCTCTGATGCAACCATGTCCTTCATGATCTTAGGTGTGAGGCAGGTGGGCATGATTTTCATAGAAAGTCTTCACAGGCGAATTTGGGACCCATGTGGTCCACAGATTCTCCATTCCTGAATGATATAATGGATTCCAGCATGCAGCTACCAGTAACCCATTTCTACTTATACTTGGTGGTCCCAGGCACCTGTCTCTACCCACTACTGCTTCCCTAGTTTCACTTTGGCCTCCTACAGATTCAGGCCCCCTGTCATCTCTACCTGCCGTTCCTAAGCAAATGTGCTACAGACAAGAAGGAATAGTCCTCCCCAATTGCAGCTGTAGCACTAAACTACAATAACTTTTCAGAGGCTCTTTAACATGCAACTTCTACATGCAGCTAATCAGAGGTCTTTAGCCACAGGTAAAAATGATCCCATTCATTGGGGCTCTAAAGAACATTGTAACTACGGGATCTATTTCATTGACCAGATTGAGCCTCTCAGCACCGTATCTGCAACGTAAAAAGAATAAGGATACTGCCACAGCTACCTTACAGGGATGTTGTAAGTTATACTGAAAAAGTATGTGATGCACTCAAGTGCTTTGAAGACATGAAATGTGAGATATCAGCACAACACATTATTTTCAAATATTAGAAACAATAGAGCCAAAGAATACCGTATATGTTGATACATTTAAGCTGATCTATGAAATTGTTATATCCCCTTGCCGGATGCTACGTTTAAGCGAAATACTCCTTGTTTTATCCAGCAGACCACACATAACTGTAAACTCTGCACAAGTGGAGTAAGGGTTGTCTTATAGTGTGAGTTCATTTCTCCTATATGAAGCTATAGAGTACCAAAACTGCAAAAGTCACAATATTTCTCTAATTTTCTGGATACTGCCCAGTTGCTTTATCATTATCATATATAAGGAAATCAGTGGAAAAAGCATTCATTTGAAAATCACAAACTTGAAATTGCAAAGAACTTTATATTCTCTAACCATAACAGCAAGATGTCATCAAGGAAGCAGGCAGTTTATCTCTACAGGGAGAATTTCCGAGACCACAATAACAAATTTTGTTTCAATAGAAGGACTGCATTTCTGTTTTTAAATAAACTTTCAGGGACAGTTTGCTTCTTGTGGCTTTGTTTTAAACATACTTACTTAAAATATAAAATAAAATCAGCCTTAGACCAGATTTATTTGCCATTTATTTGCAGAGGACAGAAATTCACACACTGTCTTTGCCAATTATATTATACTTCCAGTCCACTGAATGTGGTTTGCTGCTGCTGCTGTCAGAAGTTACTTACTGACAAAACCAATCTATGCAACAATATCATGGAACACAAGAAAAGACTTTGTTCCATAGCCACTGTATTTTTAAATGCCATTATACATAATACCCTATTCCTACTAGAGTGATATAGTTTGCATAGTCATAAAACTATTCTGATAACTGCTCTGGCTAATTTTCAAGTCTTTCCTCTGACAACTTTTAAAAATTAGGTGGTTAGGTTTTTGCATGTGTGTGCACATGCAACTATTATTTTGCATTAAATTCTGACACACATTTGACAACCAGCATGGCTCCTACTTGACACCTCATTTGATCAACAGCTTTTATAATATGAAATGGCCAGCATTGCTAATAGCATATCTCCATTGGGTGCACCATTGTTTTATAGGCTGACACTATGATTTGCCCCTCCCTTAAAAAATTATATTTCCAGATGCATTCATTTATCGATTTGCATTTAGAACTGTTTTTGCTGAAAGCTGGCCAGTCATCATCCACTATACTGTCCATGATGACTGTGAAAAATATTTTTGTGAGCTAAAAGGCTAAGAGAAGCTTACACTATTATTGCATTACAGAGACCAGATTACAGATACCAATTTCACCTGTCATCCATATAAACCAATTTTGCAGTGAAAATAAATTAGTTTGAAGTTTCTGCATAAACCAGTTCTGATAATCAGGAAACCCTATTATGCTGTTGTCTACTTCTCTTGCAAAAGCATGATTTTCCAAAAGGCAAAGAATTCAAGGCAGTTACTGAACTCAGTGGTAAACTTGCAGGTGTTGGCATTTGTCTTAAAAATCATTAAAGCACGTATCAGCTATTACTAGTCTCAGTGTCTCCTCGGACATTTAACATTGACCTCTTTCCTCACAAAAGGTGGATTATAACACTTTAGCTATGTACACTTCCTTGGGAATAAGAGTCACTTAGCATCACTTCTGAGTGACCATGGATAGGATGTACTGCAAGTTCCAGGAGCAGCTGAAAATCCATAGTACAACTTTGTGTTTCAGAGGAGTCCTTCAGAATGCCAAATAAGTTTGTCCTACAATATATTTTTCCTTGATTTCATTAATTAGTTTCACACTTCAATAAATGTTTGGATCCTGCACCCTTACCATCTCATGGAATTTTTCAAAAATTTCTTACAGGCTTTTACCAGACACATTTCCCACCACCAAGAACTAAATAGAAACAAGAAATGCATCACCATTAACTGTCACCTTGTTTCACAAGTATTCCAAGAAGCACTAAAGCAAAAAGTCATCTAAGCAGTATAATAAGACTTACATACATACAGTACTAAACAACTCTCCTCTCAAGTTCTGTCACCAAACTTCACACAGAAGAAAACTTCTAGCCTGCTTTAAAACACTACAACTCCGCCCCCATTCATCATGCCCACAGATTTTCCAGCAGCTTGAGTACAAGGGTAAGACAAATCCCACTTTCAAACTCCAGACAAACTTCCAACATGCAAACTCAAGTCAGTGAGTAAGCAAAAAAAGTTCTAGTTAACTCTTTGCAAAATGTGCCATCTGTGATATTAGAGTGAGAAACGCAAGAGAACTCCTTTAAAATGAAAAGACATACAGCCAGAGCTTGTCCAAAACATTTTGAGACAAACCACACCATTGCACCCTCCACAGTCTCTTTAGTGAGATGGAGGTGATGCTGTGGAATAATTTTTGCTTTGTCTGAAAAAAATTACAAAAGCAAACTTCTAAATATGACTCCACTACACACCATTCTAGAGCCCCCCCCCATGAACCCTCAAACTTTCAAGATGTTAACAAGCTTTTTGCATTCCAATTCTGATACCAAGGATCAATGTGTGAGCTCTGTGTTGCCCCACCCCACCTGCCCAATGCACATAGTAACACACTCAGATATCAGGTTCAAATCACACCTCCCTGTAAAACTCACATGGTCACCTTGAGTCAATTACAACCTCTCACCCTAACCAACTCACGGGATTGTTGTAAGGAAAAAGTGTGCAGGGGAAGGAAAGTTCAAAACAAATCCTCCTGCCCTAGAATGCAAAATGACCACCTTTGCATTGCATGGTGCCTTGCAGTATGCACACATAATTATACGGTGTGTACACACAGAGATTAAAATGCACCCAATATCCAATTATGAGATTAATTTTACAGAGACCCTGTGACAGCAACCCTATGCACACTTACCTGTGAGTAAGCCCAGCTGAACATATGTCTGAGTAAGCATGCAAAAGTTTCTGTTGTGAATCCTAGACTGCCATGAAGCAACTTTTGGATACTAATGGATTTACCAATTTTTATATTAGTTGAGATAGTACTCAACTACTGTCTGTAACAGTAATCAAGTCAAGAGTACATTCCTAAGACTCTCTACTCAGAAGTAAGCTGGAGTGAATTTAATTAGACTCACTCATAAGTAACTTAAGTATAGGATTGTAGCCTCAAGCTACAGCTCTATGCATACTTACATGGCAGTAAACCTCAATTAGCAGAGTTGTCATTTACTAAATAAACATGGATGGGATGGCTTGGGTTTCTCATTATGAAATGAGCGATCTCTCCCCTCCCCTAACACAATTCACATAAGGAACTGCTCTTTAAAGTAAGTATGGCACTTAACAGGAAAGTCTCTCAGCCATGCCCTTCCTTCAACATGGAGATTACGACAAAGGACTGTATGTGCATCTGAATGGTAGAACAAAGTTTTAAAATGTTTTATGTACTCACATTTGCCATATAAAGTAAGGTATCATTTATATGAATTCCTGCCTATAGATTTTCCTTTTCTAGGTGTCCAGTCGCAACTACACTGTCTGAGATGTTTCAGTTGTATTATTTCCACAGCCTGCCTGCCACTTTCACCCAGTGGGCTGGGGTGAAGCATGAACAATAACCAGGAAATCTCTTCCCCAAACAAAGTTGTCAGTTTACTTTGCATATTCAGCATTGAAGCGCGGGCGCTCTTCTCCCTCGTCTATCTACCACTACAAGTCAACCTCCATTATATCCGGGGCGGGGGGGGCGGAACAAGGAAGTAGAAAACCAGAAGGCGCACATGTTTATGTCCTCTATCAACTCCCTCCGTTTCTTGCTCATTAGCTGCCAGAAAGGGAGCGTCATTTGTTGCCCTCCTCTCTATAGCCTGTTGCTTCTCCCCCCAGCGCCCCGCCCAGAGACATGGAGCTGAACTCTCCTCCTTTGCTGCTTGAATTTGTTCAGCGGCACCTCCCGCTGCTTCAGCTGCACACTTGTACCACCAGCAGCATCAGGGCCACTCTCCCAGCGCATCATGCCTGCCCCCCTTTTGCCGGCGCCTCAACCGCCGCTTCCTGCTCCACCCGGGCGGCTGCCGAGGCGCGCTGCTCGACTCGCTCCCGGGCTGCGCCGAAGAGCGCGGGGAGGAAAACGGTGGTCCAGGGCGAGTGAAGGAGCGCGCTTCTGCAGCCACCGGGGTCGTGGAACAGCAGGAGAAGGCTGCGGCGCTGGGGGCACCTGTGAGCATGGTGGAGCTGGACAGTGGTGTTGCTGCTGCTCCTGGCGAGGCAGCAGGAGGTGGGGGGCACTTTGAAAGCAGACACTTCCTCTCGCCACAAGGACGACAGCAGGGCAGCCGCCGCTGAACAGATTCAAACCATCGAGGCGGCACCGGTGGCTCGTTATTCGCCGCTGCCTGGGGGGTAGACTGGAGGTCCAGCTGGCTACTATTGCCACTTGTTACGGCGGGCGCCCAGCGGTGAACAGCAGGCGCGTCGCGGGTATGTGGCAGCGGCAGTACAGCCGCGCTCCCGCAACTTGCCGCCTGAGGCAACCGCTTTCTCTTGCCTAACGAGCCGGCCGGCCCTGGGTGCAACTGCAGCAGGGCGCTTACCTTGTTGGAGTAGGGGGGTTTGCTGAGGTTGATCCCATCCCGGATGAGTTTGTCCCTGATCATGATTTTCAGTTTGAGCTTGGGGTAGGTCATCAGCTCCAGGCTGCGGGTCCCCACTTTCCGAGGGAGCCCCTTCTTGTTCCCCTGAGGATGGCGGGGTTTAGGAAGTGGCTCCTTCCAAGCCTTGGCCTCGTACTGCTCCACCAGGTGGCTGGTATAGATCTCTGGCGACGGCGAGCTGGGCTGGGGCGGCTGAGGCTCCAGGGTGAAGTAAAGCCCGGCGGTGGTCTCGTCTTCCTCCCTCAGCCTCTGCACGGCTTCGTGGAGCCGGCGCCTGTGCTGTGGCAGCGAGACCCCGATGGCGTCCAGGTCCGGGTCCCCGATCTGCTTGCACACCTCCAGGTCGTCATAGCCGTTATCCACAAAGGACTCCGCGTACTGAGAGAGCTTCAGGGTCTTCAGCCACTCGTAGACTATGTTGGCGCACATGATGGATGGAGGCTGGAAGGAGAAATCAGCAACAAACTGCAACTTCGCAGGACTCCAGCAGCTCCCTTGGCGGAAAAATAAACCCCCAGGGAAAAAAATCCAGATGCAACAGACATCCGTGGAGAGAAAACAGCGAAGCCCTCGGTCAGCAAAACACCATCCCCAGGGAGAGACGAAACGTTAAATCCCAAAGCAGCAGCAGCCCTGAGGCGACTCGCCTGCTAAGCCCACCTTCTGGCTGCAGTCGCTCTCCTCCAAGCCACCAAACCTGGAAATCACTGGCTCTCAGGAGGGCTCCCTTGAGCGGCCCCCCATCCCCCAGAGCTCTCTGCCCGGTCCCATCTCCAGAGCGTGCGCCAGTGACTGCCTCTCTGCCGTCTCTCGTGTCGCTGCCTCCCCTTGGGTTGGCTTTTGTTTCCCCCTCCTGTGGCTTTTATGGCTTTGGCAGTTCCTCTCCCCTCGTCAGTCTCACCTGCCTCTGCCCCTCTGCCCGGAACGACGCTGTGGACTGGCTGGCGAGGTTGGGTGCGCGCCTGGATTTTAATCTCGCCCCGTGTGAAGGTGGGGAGGGAGGACCCCAGCACGCTCTCCCGGCGCGTGCGGCAGCCTCGCCGCCTTCTGTGCCTTCGCGTCAGCCGGAGGGGGGGAAACAGAACACGCTGCCCTCAGCCCTCGCCTCGTCCTCCGGCTCGCAGGTCCACCCAGCCCGCCACACTTCGCCAAGCCTCTGACGAGTCATCCGCCCTGCTTCTCCCTCAGGGAAAGAAGGCGGCGAGCAACTGACATTCGCGGTACCTCACCGAGTGAAGCCCAGAAATTCAACAGTTTCCCAGGCTCCCGCCTTTCCTGCGTTTAATAATGTCTCACCTGAAGCCTTGGGAGAGGGAGGGAGGCGTTTTCCTCAGCGGCGACAAGTCTCATTCTTAAGTATTTGAAAAAAGTGTGCTTAAGACTGCCACTTTTATTTTGAAGGAAGAGCAGCCAATCAGCAGCTGTTGCTCCTGAGGAGAGGAACCGTAAACAGCTGTTTCTCTCCCCTTTTCCCTGCCTTGTAGCAGCAGCTAGGAAAGAATGGCGGGAAGCACCCCTCAGACCTCCCCGGCGGGGCTTCTCGCTCTGCGCTCTGGCTGCTCATGGGGTCGGAGGGAGGGGCAAGGGTGGGAAAGTGGGCAGCTGCTCCTGCTCCCAATTCCTTTCACCTGCCCACCTTTTCATGGCGGATTGGCCCCACAGGGCTGCAGAGGGTAACCAGAAGCAGCCACCTCTGTCCACTCTCTTCAGGTGGTGCACTACAGGCGATGGCCTGGTCAGCTGCCTGAGACAAAGGGCAAAATGGAGTTCCCAAGAAGAGTGGCTGCTGCATCTTTACTTCAAGGCAGAGACAGCATTTTCTGCCAAGGGCAAACTATGTAGTACACACAGTCTACCAGCACTCCTGAGCACTTGTCACCTGAGGTAGCCACCTCATTCTGTATAGTGCTAGGGCCAACCCTGCAGGACAAGCGGCTTCTTTCTCACTCTCACCTTTGAGAGGCACCATTGTGGGAATTGGGGCTGACTGTGCCCAATCCTCTCCACCATACCGCCCAGTGAAAGAGTGAACAGAAGAAGTGAACAGGCAGAGATCATGGCCTGCCTCCTGCCCTGCCCAAGTAGCAGCCTCCTCCTTTTGCTGGCTAGGCTCCAGATGACTCCACAGGGTGAAACCTTTCTGTACTATTCAAAGAGAAAGGATGTGTGAGTGAGGAGAGCAAGCGGCAATCATCCTTTGATAGAGCTGGTAGTGATGTTGGAGAACCCTCAAATGGTTCTCCAATGCTGCAGGACTTCAATATACATGCCACTAAGTAGAATAATAGCATAACCACCCCACCCCACTCACCATTCCCCCTCCTCCTCTTCCCCTTCTTCCTAATTGTTTAAACCAATTCATGAACCAAGAAATTATGTATTGACCACTAATAATGAAATATATGTTTTATATATTTTTCCACATTTATTATGCTATTTTTGTGATATACAAATGACATGAGAAAACTTGATATACTTATTTGTACTGTATAACATTATTCTTGTTTATAAAACCCAATTACACATACACACACATGCCAAGGCTGCATCAAATGGGCCAGCTCAGGACTTCATGGCCTCCATGAGAACCACGGGGTTTCCTCAGTACATCAATGGTCCTACACATGTAGCTGGCTGGGCATACTCTCAACTTGGCCTTCACGTCAGAGAAGATTCATAATACTGTGTTGACTGGCAGGCTCACTGTAATATAATGGATGGAACATAACCTGGTGAGATTTGGACTAAATGTAGCTACCCTGGTGTGCAAGAGTGGGAAACCCTTTCGGACAGAGATGATTTGGCCACTGCACTCCATACTCTGGTAACTTCCAGACTGGATTATTGCAATGCACTCTATGTCAGACTGCCTTTGATGATTACTCAGAAACTTCAGCTGGTCCAAAATGCAGCAGCCAGAGTATTGTTTGGGATTTCATTTACATCTCATATAACCCATTTTAAAACACTTGCACTGGTTGACAGTTCATTTCTGGACCCAATTCAAAGTGTTCATGTTAAGTGTTTAAAGCCCAAAATGTACAGAGGCCCCAAATATCTGAAAGACTCTCCCATTCCCTACAGACCCTCTTGGGTGCTGAGATAGACAGAGGGAGCCCTCTAAGTAGTATCCCTACCTTTAAAGACTCAGGGGGTCAGGGAATGGGAAAGTGCATTCTCTACAGTAGCCCCTAAGCTGCAGAATTACCTCTGCACAGAGGTGAGTCTGGCACCTTTATTACACAGCTTTTGATAAATGCTGAAGGCACACCTCTTTACCCTAGGTTTTGTCACTCGAAATGTATATTCAGTGGTGGAGCGTATGCCTGTGCTACCTGAGCTGCTGCGGCCCCAAGAGGGGCCCGCAGAGAACGCCCTCCCCTGTGCCACAGTTCAGGGTAGGAGAGGGGCGGGGAAGCTGCTGCCCACTCTTCCTGCTCTCTGCTGCTGGGTCAGGCTGGGACCCAGCAGAGGAGGTTGAGCTGCTGAGGCTGGGTGCGTCTTGCTGTGGCTGAGGTGGGATATTCTCTGCCGCTGGGTCAAAAGTGACCTGGCAGCAGAGCTGCTGCCGCTGGGTGCAAGGTGTGCAGTCCTCCAGGGTTTCAGAAATGAGTCTCACCCACCGCTACCTGGAGACACCAGGAATTGAAACTGGGATATTTTGAATGTAAAGCATATGCTCTATCCACTGAGTTAGAACCCTTCCCAGCCCATCATTGCTGAGTGATCACTCAACCCTTGCACAGTAGCTTGGACTCAATGCATACAGTCCCTACCATTGCACCACCCAGAAGGAGAAAACAGGTGAAAGGATGATGTGCTTGCCCTCTCCATGACTAAACCTGTGGGAGACTGGCTTAGTGGCACAGCATCTGCCTTGCATGCAGGTGCCTGGTTCAATCCCTGGCATCTTCAGGTAGGGCTAGGAGGGTCCCCTGCCTGAAACCTGGAGAGCTGCTGCCAGTGTAGGCAATACTGGGCTATATGGACAAATGGTCTGACTTTGTATAAGGCAGTTTCCTATGTTGCTCTCCATGCTGTACCACCCAGACAGAAAGCAACTGCTTCTGCTTTCTTGCAGGCAGCATCAAAGGTCCAATCCTCCTGCCTCTGGCACCCGGAGAGGTGAGCAAGACAGAGGAAGCAGGAGCAACCTCTGTCATTCCCTGTTTGCAAGCTTCCCTGTCTTCCTCAGAAGTGGCAGAATTCCAACCAGAAAGCCTAGCAGAATCTCTCATACCCTCCTTTCCAGCTTCAGGGCAGAGCAAGGACGGCAAGACAGCTGCTGCTACAGGAACATCCAGCCTTTCCTTCCCTGGGCAGCAGAAATTGGGCCAGGGATGGCTGCTGCTGCCTCTCTTTGCTTGCATGGCCCCTTTCTTTGGGGTGTGCAGCAGAAACATTGGTCTAGGGAGGGTGCCACTGGCATATAACAGCATACCCAGCAGCAGAGAGCAGGAGAGTGAGGCTGCTCTTGTACCACAGAGGAGAGTGAGAGAAAGAATGGGTAGCTGCTTGTCTTTTATCTCCAAATAGTACCATGGGGCCAGTTCTCAATGTGCAGTCTCCAAAGAAGGCAAGACAATAAGAGGAACTCGCTCTTTCCTGCTCCCTCCAGAAGTAACTGAGTTCTGCTCTTTTCTAGTCTCAATGACAGGGCATGGGAAGAAATCTAGAGGTATTTATTTACCTCATTCTCACCAGCTGCTGGTGACACTCTTCAGCATGCTTTTCCAATCACATAGTCAAGCTCATGTGTTGTTGAGTCCTCTTGCGGGTGGCGACAGCAGTGATGGAGACAGGGGTGGCCCAAGACATTTTGGCACCTGAGGCGAACCTCAGTTGTTTTCCCTTCCCGCTAGGGAAGAAGGGGTGAATGAAGATCTACACCAGGAACAAGAGTAGGGAATGAAGTTCTACGCCAGGATCTGCTGCCCCTGTGGATTCTGCAGCCTGAAGCAGTTGCCTCCCTTTGCCTCATGGGTGGACCAGCTCTGGGTCTGGGATGGTGTAAGCTGCAGTCTTAGCATTGGTGTGTGGGCCCATGACTTATTTCTATATACCAAAGGCGGGGGGGGGGGGGGAGCAGGCTGTTCCACTTTAGAATGGCAATACAGTGGTACCTCACGTTAAGTACTTAATTCATTCCGGAGGGCCGTCCTTAACCTGAAACTGTTCTTAACCTGAAGCACCACTTTAGCTAATGGGGCCTCCCGCTGCCGCCTCGCTGCCGGAACATGATTTCTGTTCTCATCCTGAAGTAAAGTTCTTTACCCGAGGTAATATTTCTGGGTTAGCGGAGTCTGTAACCCGAAGCATATGTAACCTGAAGTGTATGTAACTCGAGGTACTACTGTACTGTCCCACCCCAGCACTAGATTCGATGCCCATTATTTCTGTTTCAGGGAACAGCACATCCAGCACAGAAAAGCAGGGGTTACTTCCCCTCTCTTTACCAGCTTTGAGGTATGCTCAACCCTTTATTCGCCCTCTCTGACTCACCTGCCCACCTTCTTGGCCCCTGTCCCTCTCCTGTAATTCTCTCCAACTCCCTGCCTACCAGCTCCTTCACTCTCCCTTTGCCCAAACAGGCCTTCTCGGAGTAGCAAAGCCAGCGGCGGTTAAGGGGGCGGGACGGGGTCACGACTGACCTTTTTACCAACGGCCACTTCGTGACAGAATTTATGCGGGGCCAAGAGCGCCCAGACTTCGCAGGGAGGGAGCGGGGGTTCCTCCGTTCTCCCCCCGCCCCCCGGAGTTTTTCCAAGTGCCGCTGCCTTCGCTCTCTGAGAAATTATTTCCTCTTCCCTTGCCTCTGCCTTTTTAAAAGAAACATATTGGCTGCACGTGACGCAGAACAGCCTCGTTTCCCCTCGCGCTCCCGTTTGGTTGGGTGTAGCGGCCGTTGAGGCCCTTCGGGTTTGGCTTCCCTGCCGCCTCCCTTCACGCAGAAAGGCTGGAGGAGAGTCGGGTAAGCCCGGCGGCGCTTCCTTGTGGTGATTATGGACGTGGATGCTTTTATCTTTCTCTCTCTCTTGACGTGTCAAGGAAATGCTCGTGGGAGAGGCGGAGACGGTGTCTTGCCTGCGCATACCTAGGTTTAAGAAAGGGAATGGCAAGGGTCAGGAAACGCCTGTGTCGAAAGAAGAGGGGCAAGCAGCAGCAAGCAGTGGCGTCCTTTGCAATCCTCAGCTTCCCCCCAACGTCTTTCCCCTCAGCCCGGCACCCTCCCAGCGCCGCTTTCTCTCGTTTCTTTTGCCAACCCTGGAGTCACAGTGCCCCCTGACGGTTTCTGCTGAAAAGTGCAGCACTGGCTCCTTAAACCAGTGTCCCTTCACCTTCCTTAAAGGCTTCTTATTGAAATACAGTATATTATGCGTTCCCCATACCCACCCATCCATAGCAGGGATGCTTCTTTGCTGGAAGCCCGCCATACGGGAATCATTCCATGCATAGGCGTTGGAACAGATACACTTCCCGTTCTTCACACACAGCAGTGCATAGACAACTTCCTACATCAGATTGCATGGTAAGGCATTTAACTTCAAGGTCCACTTCTACACATAGCAGCCTACTGCTCCAGGAAAAGATACAGTGAACTCCTTCCTCAATAGGAGTTCATCAAGAGGCTCTCTTGTGTGTCCCAATTTTGCACCTGACTGGAGTGACACTGGGCTCAAGTTTTGGAAGCTGCTGCCTAGGGTGATGCTCTTGCTGTGCTAGGTGAACACTATCCTTTTTGGGGAGGCCTACAGCTTGGTTGTTTCTTAATGTCAGTTTGTATTTTTTTTTATCTGCTTGCTGGCATTCTGCTGCTTGTTTCCTTTTTGATGATTTTTTTTAAAAGCATCTGTATTATTGTGAAATTGTGTATGCAGTTTTTCTACTGATCATCTTGAACTTTTAAGGTGAATTAGAAGTACATTTTGAAATAATTTGGAAACCTTGACATAATTTAAAACAGTTCACAGAAACTTGTTTGCCTCCTTCCTTGTTGTTTGTTCTTTCTTTCATAGGCTCTTACTCCTTTTAGGTGCAGCTGCACTTTGCTGAAGTTGCAATTTTTTTCTTTAGTGTTGTTGGTTGACCCAAACTAGTTAAAAAGAATAATTGGGACTCTGGTAGGATAAAAATAGACGAGAAAAATGCTATGCATTAGACACTACTTCCACTTCAGTATCTTTAACAATGTATGCCTAGTCTCCAAGGCCTTTGTTTTATCTACGGTACTTTGTTTTATCAATGCATTCCATTTCAGTAACGGTGGTAATACTTCAGTGCATCCTAATGGCTTGGGGTTCTTTTGTGCGCATTAAAAAAATTATGGATGACCCAAATGCAGACATCTGGTCCAAGCTGGCAAAAGCAGGAGCAAATCCCATGTGTGCATGCCTACTCAGAAATAAACTTCACTCAGGTGAGATATTCTAGATTACAAAGCTGTGTGCATAGTTATCTGTGTTTGCTTCCCAATGTGGTGTAGTGGTTAAAAGCAGTGGACTCGTAATCTTGTGAACCGGGTTCGCTTCCCCGCTTCTCCACATGCAGCTGCTGGGTGACCTTGGGCCAGTCACACTTCTCTGAAGTCTCTCAGTCTCATTCACCTCACAGAGTGTTTGTTGTGGGGGAGGAAGGGAAAGGAGATTGTTAGCCGCTTTGAGACTCCTTAAGGGGAGTGAAAGGTGGGATATCAAGTCCAAATTCTTCCTCTTCCACCTCCTCCTCTTCTTCTTCCCTTATGGTCAATACTGTTACAGAGTGCTGCTTATCTATTGAATAAACTAAAAATATGTCTTACTTATTTAAAATAAGTTGTATGGAAACTTGTTAAGGAAAGCAAACATTTTTATCAGAGGTGGCTTCCAAATGGATGGTTTCTGTTGCCATCCCAGCCATTGCTTTTCCACTGTAAGCTGCAAAAGGAATTGTAATTGATTTTCAACACTATCAAGAGAATGGTGCTTCTTCTATTTTCAACACTATCAGGAGAATGATGCTTTTTCTATTTGTCCACCCCACTATGTTCTGTCCACATCAGTGGGCATGATGTAATTGCTGTGAGTGAGACTATTTGAAGCTCAGTACGCATTCACTGTATTGTGGTGGGTGTTACTTTATGACCCCATTTCTTTCTTTATTTTAAAAATTAGAATAAAACCCTTTTCCAGCTACACTTAAAAAGTGATAAGAGCAGTACCACTGCTTTGAATCCTCCTTAGAGTTGCTTGTCTGCTGCAGTCTCTATTGAACTTCAGGCCCCAGGATAGCCAAGCTCTGAATGAGCAGTAGTTGGTGTTTTCAGTTTTTCTCTATTTTCGATATGGTAGAATTTTTATTATTGCGGTTCGTTTTATGTAAGAATTTTTGATCCCAGGACAGGTTACCTCATTATTAAAAATAAACAATTCTAGCAAATTAAGAACAGATAAAAGCATTAATAAAATTAAACATATTTAAGTCATAGTAATAATAGTTGCAGTAGTGGCTAATATGCCATAAATGACCAGTCAAACAGGTATTTGCCTTTCACCAAGCATTAGCACCAGATGTTTGTCTAGGGAGGGTATTTCACAGCCAAGGTATCATCACAGAGAATGCCCTATTACATGACACCACCACAGAAGATGTTTAGTTCCTCCATTCTGACTATACCTTCTCCTCAGTAGCATAGGAAGAGAGGGGTGGGGCGCACCAGGCATCATGGCAGTTGCTGGGCGACATGGGTGTTGCAGGGTGGCGGAGCCATTGCCTATCCCTCAAGGAGATATTGCCCAAAAAAGCTAAACAACTTTGGCCGGTCTTCTAAAAACAGCTCAACAACTTTGGGCAATCTCTTTAAAAAGCTCCGCTGCAGGGTTGCTATGCCGCAGCATCTCCTGGTAACACTATATGCAACTGGGAGATTACAGCCACAGATAATAAACTAAGGCACAGTAGTAGGCTCATCACACGCTGTCAGACAGAAGACAGTAATGCCACTATAATACTTTTCCTGTCTGGTTCTCGCCCTAGATAATGGTCACAAGCATGCCACCTGCAGTCCCTGGCTTACAATTCTGTATCTTGACTGATGGCGGGGGAAGCCCTTGTCCCTGTACCTTCCTGAAGTGACAACACAAAGAAAAAAAATTCCCCTTGTGTCATCCCCTTTGGAGATAACCTCACCATGGTTAACTCCATGGCAGAGTCTATGCTTATGCCCAGATGGGCTCTGGACCACACCCCCACCCTAGCTGCATCCACTTCGCAACTTTATATTATCTCATAATACACAGCAATGAAGCAATGTAGAGTAAAAGGCATTCTTCACCTGAGCAAATGTTAGTTATGAAATCCCCCTAAGCTGTTTTATATTCTACTTAAACTGAAGACCTGTCAAAACTAAACTGCTCTATACTGCCCTCAAGTATCTGCAGTGTACACTTCTATAGATGACTCCACAGTATTGTCTGTGAGTAAAAATGGTAATTTAAAGGCCAGTGGTTGTAAACACTGAAAGGTGAGAAGGGAAAATATAGTAGCTTTACTCTGTAAGCCACTCAGGATGATCTTTTAAAAATACAGAGGAAAATATTGCAGTTCTACCACACGGCCGTGGGGCAACTATGAAATAGAAATCTAGATTTTCAGCAGATTTTTAATAGGCATAGTGGTGTACATTCAAGCACTGTTTACACCTATTAATGAAAATGTCATATAACCTCTATCCTAATGAATTAGATGCTTTTAAATTTCAGAAAAGTGTGTGGCATAATTTGACAACACTAATTAACACCAGTTGCATAATGGAACTCTGAAGACATATGAAAAGCGAAAGGGGTTAAAGAATGAGTGACATTCACAGGAGAATTTTCATGAGCTACATAAGGTATGATGACAGACGAACTAGTTTTATTGTCAGATAGCTAGGGGGATAGTGATGTTTGGGTTGTAAGAGATACCAACCTACAATAGCAATTTAGATAAATTACCATTGGCGTTACTTCTTAGTTACTGCATTTAACAGAAATCTTGGTATTCAGTTAAGCTTTTGCAAAACAAAACTTTTATAGCCCCAAATAATTTATTTCTCCCCCTCCGCCTTCTGTTAAAAACCATATAATGCACTCTATTATCTTATCACATTCTAGAAAATCATGACATAGATAATTACCACCCATGTATTTTTTTAAAATATAACATTCAACTCAATGAAGCGGCACAAAAAACCCCAACATTACCTGCAAATCTATTTTTCAAAAAGTACTTCTTTCAACAAGATTTGTTGTTTATTAAATCAATGCATTGCTCTAAAAAGAGCAAGAACTTCTACTATGAAATTGAAAGCCCTATTTTATATTTGTCTGTGAAACAAAAATGTTTATGGCAGAAGTTGGACAGATATGTTTATGGTATTCTATTTACCAGCCATATATCATAATCCCTTCAGTATAAACATGTTTTCTCACTCTCTGAGAGTGAGAGACTAGCCATTCAGCAGCCCCAGCAGCAACTCTTCATATATGTCTGCTGCAAAGTTCAGCTAAGGCATAAGAACAGAACAATTCTTTCCAGCACATAGTATTGATTTGATGGACCACATAGGAATATGGGGCTGCTGATACTAAGATTCACCTCCTAGCCACTGCTAATTTTCATGTGACCGTTTCCAGTTCTTAAATGCACAGCCCAGTCTTCACTGAGGTTAGTCTTCAAAGTACGTTTTCAAAAACAACCACCTGAAGCTTAAGCCTGAACTACTGTAATGTGCTGTACATAAGGCTGCTGTTGGAGATTGTTTGGAAAAGACAAGTATTGCAAAATGCTGCTTCCCAATTATTGAGTGGCATTATTCTTTGCAATCTGCAATGGCTTCCTGTTTGCTTCTGAGACCAATTTGAAGTACTGATATTAACATACAAAGCTGTAAAAGGTTTGGGATGCAATTAGGTACTTGCAGCTTACTTAACATCTCAGTGTGTTATCTAGTTCACTATTATCATTCCACTAGCCAAGTCGTTTATTATAATTTAAATTTTAGAGTAGTGCTTTTGAATTATTTGATGTAAGCAAGTAGGAGATGTAATGTCCTCTATAAGTAAAGTAAATTCCTCACCAGGAACAATGTGCTTTAGGCAATAATGTTGTTGATGATGATGGTTAGGTAGGGCTGCCACCCTGTGGCAAAAAATATGAATTGGAGGATTTGTTTGACATTAATTTCAGTGGTACCTCAGGTTACAAACTCTGCTAACCAAGGAGTGGTTGCTTCAGGTAAAGAACTTTGCCCCAGAATAAGAACGGAAATCACGCGCAGCGGCAGCAGGAGGCCCCATTAGTGAAAGCACGCCTCAGGTTAAGAACCATTTCAGGTTAAGAACGGACCTCTGGAACGAATTAAGTTCTTAACCCGAGGTACCACTGTATATTAAACTCTATTTCATAATAATCAGATACAATTGGATATAATCAAATAGAAAGCTGGGCAAGATAGAAAGGAAAGACATGTGAAAAGAGAAAGCCTTGAGATCACATGAATAGATACTGAGATAACTGGGCTGTTAAGCTCATGGTAAACAGCAATTAAGGGAAGTTCACATCCAAGTATGGACAAAACAGCCAATCTAAAAAGGTATTGTTAGGTTCATTTACTCAGGGATACTAACAGAATTTCCTGGGCCCAGTATACTGCATGTGTATTGCCCCCCCCCATCTCCCTCACTAATTTATTGGTCAGAACTGTTGCTTATGTGGCTATATTAACTTAACCTAACCTACCTCACAGGGCTGTTGCAAAGATAAAAGGAGGGAGGGGGAGATAATGTACACATTCTTAAGCTCCTGGGTAGAAAGGCAAAATACAAGTAGATATCACCACTTATGTAAATGAAAAATAATCATGCACAAAGCCAGAAGCCAGCTCCTCTTGTTTTAACTGCCACGTTTCATAGTCCTGATATTTACAGCAAAATAGTTAAATAGTTAAACAAAATAGTTTAAATAGTTAAATATTAAATAGTTAAATAGTTAAACAAAAACTGTTTGGCAACGCTTATAAACAAGCAAAAATACTCAGTTTCACAGTTTTGGAGTCTTCACAAACCCTTTGCCTAGCCTACCTCACAGGGCTGTTGTGAAGATAAAAACAGAGAAGGGAAGGCAATGTACACAATCGTGAGCTCCTGGGAGGAAATGCTACTTACAAATATACAACAAGGAGCAACATATACTCAAAGTTATGTGCAGTTTCACAACTCTCAGCAACACCCAAAGTCATAGCGATCGACGTTTCCCTTTTTTAAAGGGAAATTCCCTTATTCCGAATAGGATTCCTCGCAAGAAAAGGGAAAAGTTGACAGCTATGCCCAAGGTATCCTTGGGTAAAAGTACCGGTATAATCTATAGGAATTTTAACTTGCTGTAGCTGCATGGCATTTGGTATTTGTGGATTCTTTTAGTATTTTAAGATTCATTTTATATTTTTGTTTTATGGTTACTGTATATTAAAATATATATATAGCTAATAACGACATGAAGACCAGTAGTGGTTGTGTGGAGGGACATAGAAAATCAGGGGGAGGATTTTCAGTAGGAAGGAAGCCTCATTTGTTTAAAGTATGTTATCTTTGAGTAAAACATACCTAAGCTAGCCAAGGTAGCATACTTGGGGAGGGATGAATGAAATAATGTGGAAAGTACTTTAAAAAAACACTCTAATACACAGAGCTGACTCTACTCCTGCATCCAGCATCAGGCTAGCGCAGGGGTCAGCAAACGTTTTCAGCAGGGGGCCGGTCCACTGTCCCTCAGAACTTGTGGGGGGCCAGACTATATTTTGAAAAAATAAAAATGAACGAATTCCTATGCCCCCACAAATAAATCAGAGATGCATTTTAAATAAAAGGACACATTCTACTCATGTAAAAACACACTGACTCCCGGACCGTCCGCGGGTCGGATTTAGAAGGTGATTGGGCCGGATCCAGCCCCTGGGCCTTAGTTTGCCTACCCATGGGCTAAAACCAACAATGAACTTCTCTTGTTTTTTTCCTGCTGTCTTAGTATGCTGCCCTTCTGATTCCCAGGTAATCAGAGGAAGGAATGCTAAGCAGCTTAAGTTATTATGCATGCTTGCAACAGCAGTATCTGCAGCTTTAGAATGGTGCTTCCATGATTTGTCTTTTAGTTTTATTTATAAATGTCTGATTGACTTAGCTTTCATTTTTTTTAAATAGTAAGTCAGGTCCCTGCTAGCTTGGGGCCTGCTACATGTTTATTTAATCTACACTTAAGACAGGAAGAACCAGCTGCACAAATATAAGATGAGGGACACTTGGATTGCCAGTAGTATATGTGAAAAGGATATGGGGTCTTAGCAGACCCACAAGCGTAACTTGAGTCAACAGTACGATGCTGCAGCAAATCTAGGCTGCATCAGTATAGCGCCCTGATCAAGGAAATTGAATCGTTCTGTTCTGCTTTGACCACACCTTGAGTACTGTTCACAATTTAAGGAAGATACTGACAAGCTGCAGTGTGTGCCGAGGAGGGCAGTCAATGGAACATTTGAGGGAATTGGGTAAGTTTAGGCTGGTAAAGAGGAGAGTGAGAGGAGATAGTTGTCATATCTTCAAATATCTAAAGGGCTATCAGATGGAAGTAGCTTGTTTTCTCCTGCTCTGGAGGGTAGAACCCAAACCAATGGTTTCAAGTTACAATAAAGGAGATTCCAGCTAAACTTTAGGAAGAACATTCTGATACTAAGAGCTGTTCAACAGTGGAACAAACTTGCGTAAGAGCTGGTGGCCTCTCCTTCCTTGGAGGTTTTTCAGCAGAGGTTGGATGGTCATCTGTATGATGTAGTTGAGATTCTTGCATTGCAGGGGGTTGGACTAGATGATCCTCAGGGTACCTTCCAACTCTACAATTCTATGATTCTACAATCCCTATACCCTGCAGTTAGCAGCACTGCCTTTAGATTCCTTTATTATTCCAGTTAGTTCTGGGATTCTAAATTGTCTCTTACCAGCTTCCAGAAATGCCTTTTGTCTTTTGTTTACCAGCTTCTTTGATGAACTGAGTCTAAATGACAAATATAAATATTACCAGTCTTATAGCAATGTGGTTGCCACTAAAAATAGCTTTCATTTGTCCTGAGCTCCAGTTCACTGCAGTAATGCCTGAAAATTAGAAAACTGAAAAATTCAATGTTTATAAACTATACTGTGCACTAAATACCCACACCACAATGTGGGGCTACAAAATGTCTGGGGCCAATGTTACTACAGACACACAGAACAGTGGTGAGAAGCATTTATTTTCCTTTCAAGGGGTGCATTCACTTGGGGAGAATTGTTAGAGGTCACATCCTGGCAGTAGACAAGAGCAAAGTCAAGTGGGGATGCAGGACACAAAAGTGGTCAGAACAAGGGTGTCTAACCTGTGGATGTTGAACTAAAAGACCTAAAATCTCTGACCATTGGTGAATCTTCCAAAGGCTGATGGGAGTTGTAGAAGAACAGCATTTGGAAGGCAACAGGTAACTTGTCTATGAGGCACGGCTTCCACTTGTCTTTTTCTGTAACCCCCTTTCCCATCAATTTCTCCCCCCATTGACACCTGCATAAAATTTGGTAAAGAGACCCTCATTTAGAACCTATAATATACAGGTGCAGTTTTCAGTGGCAATTATATCATTTTGGTAATGTTTGGTTTATTGTCTACACAAGCTTATATTTACAGAAATATCTGCTTTGAGTGGGCGGCATTTATTAT